CCCCAAAACCCCAAAACCCCAAAACCCCATGCAAAGTAATCGATGGAAGTTTAAGTAAAAGAGCAAATTTAAAAAATGTTTCATTAAATTTTACAAAGATAAGCGCCTGCCAATTTCTTGATAACTAGATTAAAAGAATGGAACAAATTTAATTTGCTACTTTAACTTTCACAAAATTATAATAATTTAAAGAATTAATAATGAATCAAATAATGAGGCTCTCAATGAAATACATATTAATGCTACTTCTTACAATCGTTACAGAGATATGGGCACAAGCAAATGAGCCAGATCATTTCTTTGATTTTACAAAAGTGACGAATTACAATGGCATCGACTATGTCTTTGATTAAGTAACAAAGGATGATAAAGTTTCATTCGGCTTCTTACGTAAATTACTCATCAATGCTTATGCTAATTTTAGCTGATAGACCACAGTGTGGATAATATTAACCTTCTACCTATCCAATGAAAGGGCCTGATGGCTTATAATTTTCTAAATTCACTGACTCTATTCGTATTGAAAATGCTGCCAATATGCAATTGACTAATAAATTCTTGATTGCAATATGGTTCAAGTCTTTCGACATGAGATTTAATAATGAGAATAGGTACTAGAAATTATTTACTTAGCAGAGATATGATTCCAGTTCCTAATCATAAATTGCTGTCACATAAGGAATGTTTGAGAATTAGTACATATATTATTTTGACGCTTCAGTCCAAGTATATTATGATACTAGTCAAACTACCATGGTTAGAATAACATTGCAAACAACCAAATTTGTAGAAGGATGGCAGCTAATATCTGTGTCATTAGATTCTACCTAGAGTAATACAGTGAAGTTGTATATGAGACTTAGAAATGCAAAGGAGTAGATTTCAGCATCAGAATAATGGGGGAATTGGATATGGAATGATTTATCCTCAGCTAAATCAGATTACTATATAGGAGCAAGTTGTGATGCAAACTAAAAAAGATTCTAATATGGGGGAATGCTAACTATTGCAAGATTGTATGTTTGGAAAAGCATGTCAAATGTTGCAGCTTCTTCAGACTCAGTCTTTGATAAATATTTCTTTAGACAAAACGGAAACCCAATGCCTATATGCATTGGTACTCTGCCTTGCTCATTTTGTGTAGTAAATTACCCTACTCCTACTACATTTAATACAAAGCTTACCTGCACTACTGAGGGCTATGATGAAAGTAAGATTTACTTGGCTAAATGGGAATTTGATGAGGATCCAGGCAATACTTAGTACATCCTTGATTAGAGCATTCATAAAAGACACATTATGAAAAGCAATGTTAATCAAGTTGATGGTGGAGAACCGTTTAGAATATTTGGTTAAGGCTATCTGCTATACGGAACTTTGTCGTTATTAGTTTCAAGTGTCCCGTAACTAAACACATAGGGTCAATTCACATTAGAAATTTGGATGAGAAAGCATTGGGATTAGAGTATCTATGACTCAACCCTGAACTATGGCTTTATACCTATAGATATTGTTGATCAAGCAACTCAGACCAAAATTTATTTCCGCCTGACAGTTTCAGATAAAGATTAGTTCCTGTAATTGCATTATGAAAATGGAAACTACTTTTTACATTATTATCCTGGTTTACTTAATTCTACTAGATGGTACTTTGTCTCAGTCACTCAAATGACTTATTTAAACCCCCAAGCAAGCTATGGACGAGAATACCAAGCTTATACAAAAACCTCTGTTGATAATGATTTCAAAACAATAATCTTCGCTAACAGTTATCCTTAGATAAAATTTACTGGCTAGCCATTAATGAGAATAATCAATAAGAGATCTATAGTTATTAGGTCATTTAGGATATTTGGATATGCTAAACTTGAAGAAGAAGTAAGGAATTCTTTTACAGCAACTTGCGCTAATCTCGGAAATCAAGGAGGCTGCCCTATTTGCCCATCCAGTACAAAAACTTGTATTAGCACGTGTAATGAAACATAGTATGGCGATTCATGTAGCTCTTGCCATAAATTTTGCGGCCATTGCACAGGACCTTTAAAAGAAAATTGTACTTATTGCTCTAGAACTGTAGCTCCAGCAAATATATTTTATTCGTAACCCTTTGGAAATTGTACTTGTATGCCAGGGAATTACTACGACACTACTGCTGATTCTTGTCTACCTTGTCATGCAAATTGTAAGGAATGCTTTGGACCAAAACAATCAGAATGCATGATCTGTGCCACAGGAAAAATTTTCTACCCTAATGCTATTTGCGTTAATGACTGCAGTGATCCTCTTGTTGTTAATGGATCTTTAAATGGTTTCTTTACTTAAACAGAGTTTTTAGGAGGTAAAAGCCAACAAATATGCATAAAATGTCATCCATTTTGTTCGAAATGTACTGGTGGATTGAATTCTTAATGCTAAGAATGTCTCCAAGGCTACCTACTCCTGGGAAGTTCATGTCTTGATTCTTGCCCAGATGGAAAGTATCCTGATTTTATAGCAAAGAAATGCGATAATTGTAATACAGATTGTTCATCATGCAAAGGCCCGTCCTTCAAAGATTGTTTGACCTGTAGTAATCCACTCTATTATCAGTAAGGTGGCTAATGCAAAGCAAAGTGTGACGATGGTTTCTACCCTGATGCTAAATCTGTCTGCTAGCCATGTAATGTAGCTTGTGGGACCTGTACTAATAAATTTTCAACTACATGTGGATCTTGCGTAACTGATTATTTTCTTCAACCAGGTACTTCTGAATGCAAATCTAACTGTCCTGATGGCTATTATGGTGATCCAGTCACTCACGCTTGTGTGCTTTGTCACTATTCTTGCTAAACTTGCAGTGGCTATGGAGCTGATACCTGTACAGTATGTGCAACTGGATTCTTAAGGAGAGGTGCTTTTTGTGTGGAAAAGTGCAACGACGGAGAATTCGAAATATAAGGTACTTGTAAGTCTTGTGACTCTAAATGTTCAAGTTGCTTTGGGGTTAAAGATGATTAGTGTTACTCATGCAATGAGAATACTCTTACAACATATGGATACTATTTCTTAGGCACAAAATGTTTAGAAGAATGTCCAATAGGCTACTATCCAGACAATATCCTCAAGATATGTAAGAAATGTAATCCTAGGTGTGCTAGTTGCTTATCTGATACTTTTTGCACATCATGTGTTGATGGCCCTTTCTAGCTTAATAATGGAGAGTGCACATTTTTTACTTGTTTAGATACTCAGTATAGAGTGATCAAACCTTCTCTAGCTTGCTATGAATGTGATTCTTCTTGTTTAACATGTCAGGGTAAGAGTTAGTTTGATTGTCTGTCTTGCAGATCAAAGAATCAACTCGTTGCCCAATAATGCCTGACATGTAATGAATAGCCTGGAATGACTGAGCCACTTGATGATGGTGTTGCTGGTTGTGTTGAAATATGTGGAGATGGTTTCAATTATGGCTTCTACTAATGCGACGATGGTAATGTTGTAAATGGCGATGGTTGCTCATCTACTTGCAACATTGAATCTGGCTTTAACTGCACTGCAGGGACAAAAATTTCTCCAAGTGTTTGCATGGACAATAAAAATCCCACTCCATAGATCAGCTTAGTAACTGCATCCAACCTCTTACTTATCTAATTCGACGAAGAAGTCTCCCTCATGGAAGAGCTAACAACTAATAATCTTAAGATTTCAGTAAGTGGTTCTCAAGAACCTTACAAGTTTGAATGGAGACTAATGGACTAATATAAAACATCAGAACCCCTCCAAGTAATAGGGATTCAACTTACCTTTTATTAGACTCTAAAGGGAGATTAAAAGGAATAAGCAGTAGTAATTTTCTAAAACTCAACTATCTATGCTGATGCTACAGGGAATGGTATGATAACACTTCCCTTATATGCTTACTTGAACAAATATGATTATATAGACCCAGAAACTAAGGCCAAATTAGACTCTGCTGGAGACACATCTATGCTAGCTACCTTCGGTGCAGTGGCTGTGAATCTAGCTATATCATTAGTATTCGGTGGATCTATTTCAGCAATGTGGACTATGGTAAATACAATTTAACTTATCAGTCTATTGCCTTTGTGTGGCATAAACTATCCGGCTATAACTGTGTTGGTATTTCAAAAAATGCTTGCTTCTCACGGAGAGTCCACTATCATACCCAACCTCCTTTATGATTATCTGATTCACAGACCAGGCTCTGATGTCTAGGTAGAACCAGCTTTAAATAATAAATTTAGTGAATATGGTTGGACGGTTAGCAATTTCTTATATCTTTCCGGCAGGAAAATATTGATTTGGACCGCAATTATAATAGGATATCCTTTCGTATGGTATATCGAAAAAAGATATGCTGACAAGCATAAAATATGTAAACTATGGAGTAAAGTAGAGTAGAAATTTAGATATACATTGCTATTGAGAGGAGTCATAATGTCCTATGTTTCTATGTATTTGGCTTTCATCTTAGGTATATTCTAAATGGACTTAACCACCATGGGGAATACCATCTCTGCTTTTGCAGCCATTGGCTTTGGTATTATCCTTACCTATCTACCAATTTTACTGATGAACATTTTGCAACGTAACTACCAGAAAATTTAAACAGTCAAATTTATGCTATCATACTCTACAATTGTGAAAGAAGTTGACTTAAGTCATCCAATTAAGTACATGTACTATCCTGTTTTTCTAATGAGAAGAGCTTTGTTCTCAATATCACTTGTACTCTTTGCCAATAGTCCTTTCAATTAGATAGTATTTATGAGTGCTACTTCTATAGTTATGATAGTATACATTATTTTGATTAGACCTTAAAAAGATAAGATTATGATTGTATTGACTGCTCTTGGTGAAGTTTTGCTTTTGTTTTTACATATATTTTCATTAGTATTTTTGGATGAAAATCTCACAGAAGAGGTTGAAAATTAGTATGGCTGGTTTATTATCATCATAATAGGTTTCTATATTCTGGCTAACTGGGTTATTATTGTTACCTTGACTATAAAATAGCTTAGACAGAAATGCAAGGAAAATAAGTTAAAGAAGAGTTAGTTGAAGTTAAAGCAAATTGAAGATGTCGACTTTATGAAATGGAAAAAGAGGAAGCAGGTAAGAAACAGAATAAATAGGGAATAGTAAAAATATCACATGATAGAGGCTCTTGAAGAAGCTAATCATCAAAGAACATCAATGATTACTAATGGAGATCAACCTAGAAATGAAGACTAATAATTCAGCAATCAATTCGGTAGTAGCTACAAAAACCTTTTAATGCCCGTACCTCCATAGAATATCATATCAGCAGGCTTTGAAATATCTCCATTGAATGCTGGGATGTTTCTAAGTCCAAATGCTAAGCATGGACTCTAAAAATTTACATATAAAGATTAATCTTAAAGTAACTAGAATCTCTATTATGTTGAGTAAGCTATACTTATTTTGCTTAATGATTTTAGTCCAAATGATTCCTATCGAAGTAACTTTTCCAGCGGTATTCCTCGATCGACATTGCAACTAAACAAAGACAATTAATCCTAAAAGGTTTCGAGTCATTAGTATGATATCTGTGGTAAGTTGTTCTACAGATTATGACTGTATTTATAGACACATCTCATTTGCTGAGACCAGCTAGTTAAGGCTCAGGAGGCTAGACTGCCACTAATGACCATTCAGTAGGAGAAAAATCAATTAATTCACTCATTAAGGATGAAAACGAATTCTCAGATTAAAATAGGACTCCCTCCATTATACCTGAAACCAATGAATTGGAGTCACCTACTTTTGTCAGATAAAGCAAGTCTGACAATATACAAAATGATTTTTCGATTAATCAAATAAACGAAATGTTATAACCTGACACTGAAGAAGATTATAATAAAGATCATGAATAAATAGAAAATACTTAATCTTAAGTGGAATATAAGACAACCACAATAATAGTAGAAAAGCTAGATTGAATGGAGCATTGATATTTCAAATTTTATATAAGAAAATGATCAAATTGCTTTTGCCAAAATATATTATTCATATAATTATAAATTTTTAACAATTGATTTAGTTTATTCCTTAATTTGATTTAATTATCCTTTAAATTCCAATACTCATCTTTTAGACTCAAGGGGTTTTGGGGTTTTGGGGTTTTGGGG